CAAAAAATAAGGCCAGATTCGGAATCAGCAGCATACAACGAATCCGAATATGTGTGTTTAAACGAAAAATAAAAAGTGCTGAAATTTTGAATTACCGGCGCCTTACTTGATTTGTATAAGTTTCATTGACTCAATAACTGAATTCTATTTATCTATCATTAATTCCAAGTCATTGACTTGTGCTGTCAGTGTTGTGATCTGTTGTTCTTGATTTTGTAAATATTCATTGTATTTATCAAATGTAGATTGAAATTTTGCAATCAATGTGTTAATGAATTTTTCTGATGTCACTACCTCTGTGATAATGTCTTTTAAACTTGTTATGTTTGCACTTTGATCTTTCGAATTATCCGCACTCCTCATACTTGTGCTGACTATCATATATTCCGGTGTTTAGTAGAACAATTTAATACGGAGAGAAAGAACGATAGATAGGTGTTAACAGCATGAAAGAAAAAGTTCGAATGTGTACTCGATTTTAGGAATTCTAGGAAAGTGCCTGTAACTTGAGGTGAGGGGCTGTTAAGTCCTTTTCAGTCTAGCTTTATCGACAACTATTTTTGACTCCCATGATTCAAGAACTATAGGCATTTATCCAGCACCTACCTATGGGCGAAATTTCATCTTTGGGAACTTTCAAACCACATTGAACATAAGTTATTATGGTAGATCTGATCGGAAGGCCTGATTCCTCCATAGATTTCTTTCCCAGTAACTCCTTTATCAAATACTGAAAACCGCATGGTTCTAGCTCTTTCTGCTAAAAACTTATTCAAAAAATACTTTTTTCCATTCTGTTTTGAAATGGATAGTAGATTACTAAATTTTACGATTTTTCTCTGCTCTAACATCAAACATCACATAATTCATGAATTTATTATATTCCAAGAGAAATTTCGATGCCATATACTCAGATTTCCTGAACACTATCAGGAAGTGTATAGATTCCACAGGGAATGTGCACATTCCCTGTAACATCTCCAAAAAATAACCACTATTTGCGTCATTATCCCTCGAAGTCCATCTCTAGTAATGTGTTCTTCAACCGGGATCAATTCTAAGGTGCCAATAATTCAAACCTAGAGCACATTTTATTTTTCGTTTATTTATACTTGGTTGGATAGAGCACATCAAAATGGTTAGGAAAATTTCTTTTCCAGCGTTTCAAGAAAAAAGGGTTCAACTGCGCAAATAGCAGTTGACCATCAAGTTATCCATGATACTTTTAACATCTTGAGCATTTGAAAGTTATTGGGCAACAAATAATAATGATTTTTATATTCTTTTTTTCTTTAGGATAAACAAAGCTGTAATGACAAATTAATTTGGTATGATGACTTATATAGTTCATCAGCACTCATTAATATAAATAAATCGCGTTTTGTATGCATAGAAAAGATACCAAAAAGTATAGTCTAGCAATTATGCTAAAATACCAGAAATTCGAACGTCGTGCTTTTATACATAGTTGAATACAGCGCATCAGACTTTTTTCAGGTCGAAAAATTTGAAAAACCTGAGGGGGTCGATTTTTTGGGAAAACGCATCATTTCAAAATATGCAAAATTTTCCATTTTAGTCAATATTTTGTCTAATTCGATTAATCATACCACCAAAATTCTTGAAGATCTTGAAAGTATGTTCATTCGATTTGTCATCATGTTTTACCTATTTGGATAGATTTTTACTTCATTTAAGTAAAAAATAGCAATTGTATTTAAAATGACCTTTCGGTTTTTCCTATGGTATCAGTAAAAACGATCTTCCTCCACAAAGGAAAAAAAGCGATGCATATTTTTGTGAAAGACACTACTATTAAGAGTAGCATTATTGAATATAGGTCAAACAGCTACACAATAGGAGTTGGAACTACGGCTGCTCAGGCAGGCGTACCAAATCATTTTATAAAAATTTCAAGGAAGATGGGATTCAGATTCTCATCAAAGATACATATTGGTTTCATCTTCCACTCTTTTCACAAAAAAACTCATTCAGAAGCGTTAATACTACCTATTTGTCAAGTAGCTTGAAAAACACTTTAATAATGCATCTGACACTCCCTTTTTCTGTAACTTATAGAGTAATCCAGGGTGCCACGCTCTGCTAAATGCTTTTGAGTAGTCGAGGAAAACAGCAAGTGTGAAATTGCCGTTGTCTAAGTTTTGACTTATCTCATGCACTAGTGTATCCGGCAATTAGAATGATCACACTGAGACAAAATGATGTATGACTGAAGGGTTTAAGGACAATCTTAAAAGAATTATGGTCTACTAGATTTTCCAGCCAAAAGATCTTACGAGAGAACATTCCAGAGTGAGGCACTCCGATTTTGTTCAAACCTGGCAATTCATATGTGATCAAGGGCGTTGATTGCAAATATGATAGCCGTTTGTGTCCATCAGCAAAAGGACCGCTCCTATATCCTGATCGGGATATATATCCCGATCAGGGTATAGAAAAATTAATATCCCGATCGAGATATAAAACACAAAATTTCGTCGTAAAAATGATTAAGGGAAAATTGACTACGTTTTGGGATAAAATTGTCATCACCATTAGAAAAGGCTCGAAAAACTACATCGAATTCTGTTGTGTTCGACCAGAAGTGTGAAAAAACAAATTTTAGTCGAATTTATATACGATCGAGAAATAGGCGGTTAATCTTCTGTTGCTCATAATGGGATATACTCTTGATCTAATCGCTTTCCACACCGACCGCCTTTCAGCTGAAGGAAACAAAAGACACTACTAGGAACGTTAGAGAGGAGCAATAAAGAAGAAGAAGCAAAATATTCAGCTCTCATGTAATTAAAATTTATCATTTTCTTACAAATTAAAAATTAAAATTTTTGATATCCCGATTAGGATATAGATTCTTTTTATTTCTCAATCGAGATATCGAATTATATCCCGTTCAAAAAACATACCAACCGTATAAAAAACATTTTGCTGTAAAAAATGATAACCCATCGGGATATATATCCTGATTGAGCATACATCCCGACCGGATATGTCTCCACACTGCCGATAGACCTTTCCTAGCGTTTCTCTGGAGAACCGGTTTTCAAGAAATCCTCTGAAACCCTAGCAATGTTTTATCAACATGTAAGGATTGTAGCCTGAGAATTTTGCTTAAAAATCAGACGTTTCCCAGCTCTACGGTTTCATTCTTTGCTGCTACGGTTTCCGGGAATTTCTAGAAAACCGGTTCTCCAGAGAAACTCTGGGAAATATCTATGAGCACAAACGGCTATCATATTCGTGATCAGCGCCCTTGATTACATATAAATTGCCAGACTTGAACAAAATCGGAGTGCCTCATTTGGGAATGTTCCCTCGTTAGCTTAGAAACAGCATTATTTACATGTCGATTTTTCGACTTAGGTAAAGTCGCAGAACACTAAATCATACATCATTTTGTTCAGAATTTTATGCTCTTTTTGGTTATGTAATTTACAAATATTTCAAAGAAGCTCAAGAGTTCTCTAGAGACCCTTTCCAAAGCCAAAACTTGTGAAAACTGATTTAGATAGCCCATGGCTAAATGCATAAGATAAAATTGTTCTGGATTCGTTGTATGTAGAAGCCCTCGAGAACGGAACCCAGCAAGCTTAACCTATGCGGCTCTCCGGAAACTCGGGTTTTTGAACGGAAAATTCGAGATAAAAGAAATATAACTATATCATCGAATAGAGGATATCATAGACTAGATATGTTGGAAAAATCTCAGTCTGATCACTTTTATTGACGGAGTAATGGCATTTTTACGTTTTCTTTCCATTTTCCGGTGCCAAAGTCTTATGCTAAGCACTCTCGAAAACTCTTGCTGTATCTCTGAAACGATAAGATTAAAACTTGGATTTACAGGTTTTCCCGTATACTCTACAAGATAAGAACATAGGTTACCGATGTGGCAACATTTCTTTTTCAAAACAGTTTCAAAATCTAGTGAAAACGTACATTAGGTGAAATATCCCATTTTTGCTTGTTGTTGAGTAAAATTAAACTCACTAAGTAAACACTTGGAATAATTGTAATTTTTACTTCTCATACCTTTACCTGTAATACCTGATAACCTGTTAGAAAAAAACTATATAGAATTATCTTATCTATCATAATAACGTATGAGTAATAGGTACCATCCCCAGTAATACGGTTATTATTAAATTCTACATATATATTAACATGCTTCGGCAAATTATATCACAAAATATCGACAATGACGCAGGCATCATCTGTTATAAATGATAACTGTAGCATTTGTCGTTCACAGTTTTTCGACCCAATTGTTTTACCATGTGGCCATTCCTTTGATCGACGTTGTATTCGTGAATGTGTTCAACATTCAAATGCTCAAGCTCAAATACCAGTTGAATCCAGAACTATCGGATGTCCACTCTGTCGAAAACATTTCAGATCAAATGTTAAATTCATCGATGAATGGAACTCAAGACAGGTTGTGCAGTCAATGGAAAATATGGCGATTCCAGTTTATGAAATATTTGTAATCGATACGAGTTCATCAATGTGGTTTTCCGATGAGTTTTTTGGTACGGCACGTCTGACAGTGGCAAAAGATTTTCTCCGTGAAATACTAAATGAAAGGTAGGGTTTTTTTTAAGCATGATGAATGAAGGTTTCATTGATGTTCTTTCCTTATTTTAAGAAAAAGATCTGGCAAAAATTTGATTGCATGCTACTATTTTAATGCTAGTACCAATCAACTCTTCGATTTTTCTGTAATTGATGACAACGAAATAAGTTCAATAGATCTGTTAACGCCAGATACCAGTTTTTTCACGAAAAAAACTGCTGTATACGATTCAATTTCTGACTGCATGCAAAAATTTCAGAATGAAATTAGAGGAGCAAATATACTACAAGAGAGTGAAAGGAAAATTTATGTCCTAAGTGATGGCTGCGATAATAGAAGCAGACCCAGTAGTATTCAACGATATCAATTAATCAGTCAGCGCCTTGCGAAAGAAGCAACGATTGAAGGAACATTTATCCAAATTGGTTTAAAGAATTTGAAAACAGGTAAAAGTGTCGCTAATTTACTTCGTTATCGATTTCATCATTTTGGAAGCGGCAATGCAGCATTATTTACAAGAGGGTTTTTATCGGAAAATCCGTCAGAGCATAACAGATTTGTAGCACACCATACGTCGTTGGTAAATACTCAGACAGAGCAACAACAACAGAGAGACATAAGACTTACTACATCGCTTATTCTTCCACCACAAAATAACAGTCAACGTCAAGCGCTTCTCGCCGAATAAGAGAGAGTTTGCTCAACAATCAACAAGGATGTTTTTGTCATTTTAAACAAGCTTTTGTTATGCCACGAGGACATGAAGAGATCATATGTTTGGAAATGTGACTATTATTTTCCTTTCTGTTCTACTGACATCATGCATCGGTCAGTACTATGCGTCACGTTAATATATATGTAGAATTTAATAATAACCGTATTACTGGGGATGGTACCTATTACTCATACGTTATTGTGATAGATAAGATAATTCTATATAGTTTTTTTCTAACAGGTTATCAGGTATTACAGGTAAAGGTATGAGA